CGCCATTCCAATTAGATTCAATGACACAGTCTCTTCCTTGGAAACTAAGTCTAACATCTAATAGTTCTCAATTTCCTGAAATGCGTTTTTCTTTTTAAAGTCGTACTCTCTTACTGACATTTGTCTGGGTCTTCGTGACACCAAAGTAATGATATTAAAAATATCCTCATTTGAATTTTTTTCCAAGATGTTGAATAGTTATATTTGGAAACATTTCAACTACTTTTTAAGTGTCCTTTGAATGGCATAATGCAAGCAAAGCTCAACTTGTTAAAAGGAAAGATAGAGGTCTGTGAGACAGGAAAAATGAGTTGCTATTTCAGATGGAACCCAGGCTCACATCTGTTGTGGAGAAGGGACCCAATCATTACTGTCCTCCCGGACCCACAGACACAGCAATGCTAACATGCTTCACGCAACACTTTTACTTTGTCATATCAGTAGAAATGAACATGCAGATACTTAAAGAAGCTCTTTCTCCCAATATTTTCACAATCACCTCATTGAAAAGGTCATGTTGTTGTTGTTAAGAGCCATTGAGTTGGTGCCAACCAATAGCGACCCTGTATAGGGTTTCCAAGGAGCAGATGGTGAGCTTGAACCACCAATCTTGTGATTCAAAGCAAGTTTGCAGTCCAGCTCATTAACCCACAGCACTACACCAGGTCTCTTAAAAGGTTATAGTGGGAGGAGAATGCTATCAGTCAAATACAAGTCTCATATGAGGCAACATTAGCCTATTTTCCCTGGCCTGCCCCACCAGGTGTAACTTGAGAGAATTGTACACTCAAAATGAAGATAGAGACGCATCGCCCTCCATATCTTCTCAACTGTACCTACAACCATGAATCCTGCTCATTCTAATGCTAATTCCCCTGCTGCTTTTACTAGTACTTCACTTCTACCGTTACTGCCTCTGAATGTTGATGAGACTGGCAATCATTGCAAACATTCTGTGACACTCCATCACGATGCATCTAAGCATTCCTAATGCACTAGTTCCGTGGTATTTATGATAGCCTCAAAAGTATGTGAAAGTTGGATAGTGGATAAGGAAGACCATTGAAGAACAGATGCCTTTGTGCCATGGTGTTGAAGAAGAATATTGAAAGCACTGTGAACTGAAAGAAGAATAAACACATTTGTGCTAGAAGAAGTACACTCAGAATGTTCCTTAGAAGCCAGGATGATGCAATTTAGTCTCTTATACTTTCGACAAGCTGTCAGGAAGGACCGCTCCCAATGGAAGGGCATAATGATTGGTAAAGTGGAGGATCGGCAAAAAAGAGAAAGTCACCTAATGACATCGATTGGCAGAGTGGTAGCAGCAACGGGTTCAAGTGTAACAATTGTGAGGATGGAGAAGGACCAGGCAGTTTTGTTTTGTTTTTAAGTTTTTATTGTGAATTATGTGATAGTTTACATGGGAGAACATTAGCCTTACATTCATCCTAACTTACATTATTTCATTGCCATGATTACAATCTTCTCCATGCGTCATCAAACAATCAACAGGTATACCCTGCAAACCTACCCCTCGGTCGTCAGCACACAGCCCCTCTCCCTCTCTGGGTCTACAGTCCCCAGCCACTCCATCTCTCCATGTCATCATCTTTGCCTCCATCTCTGGCATCACTGCTTCTCTGGGTAGGGTCCTGCACTCCTCTCTTCTCCCTTGATGGTCCCAGGGATCTCCACTCCTGGACTACAAAGTCAATCACTCCCCTCCTTTTGCTGCAAAACATCTACCTTTACATTTCCAACCCTCATAGTCAGTCCTGATAGCAATTATTCACTATTGTACCACAAGAGTCCTATCCCCATCTCCTTTCATCAGCCCCGCCCAGACAGATTGGATACTACTCAGTGGAGATTCTACCTTCCTCTGCACCCTCTGGATCTAAACTCCCTCTTGAAAGCTTGTAAGCCAGTCACTGCTTGCCTTTGTAACCCCCCATTTTGAGTAGCCAACGTCCAAGTTGTCCATCCCTATCTACGCTGTGCACTGAAGGGGTGGGAATGATCTTCACTGTAAAGATTTGTTCCCTCTTTTGAGCTACTGCATCCATAGGTTTAGGTCAAGTTCATCAAATTGCATCAGATTACTCTTTTTTCTTCTTCTAGTCGAGTTCTAATCATCCAGTCATTGAAGCCAGGTCAAGCAGGTATTATCTGCCAGTGTGGGTGTTCTTGTGCATATCCCCTCACTTCTTATCAGCTGGACGCTTCACTCTCCACTCTAGTCCTCTGTGGTTGTGTCACTGTCTCTGGGCCCAGGAGTCCTCAGGTCTTGCCAAACTGTTGGCCAACCAGTTCTCCAACTATGTTCATAGGAGTCTATTGAACGTGATCGGACTTAGCTCACAACTTCATTGCTGTTTTTCCCTCACTGCCCTTTATCGGTGACCAATGTGGTCACCAGTCAGTTGGCATGCTTGCTCGTGTATTCCCACTGAGTCTTAGTCTTGGAAGGGGGTTTGCCCTGAGGGGACTCAACCACTTGCCTTGATGTCTCCTGGGAGAGCAACTTGCTTGTTCTTGGAACAGTCAGTCGGACTGCCGTTATTGTTTTTGATTTTCCCTGTCAGTCTTTCTTTCAAGAAGTATCTTCTGTTCTTCTAGTCGCTCCAGGCTGGTCTGCTTGTCCTTTCAAGTGGAGATTTCCCATCTCAGAAAATTTTGGATGGAATTCAGGATTCAACATATGATGCTATGCAATGCAAAGGCTCTGCAGGAAGCCTCCTTCACTAGGCAAGTTGTAGCTCCAGTTTAGGTATTCCAATCAGTTATAGGCACAAAACAGACTTACAAGCTTTCCATGGTGATGTTTCTGGCTATTCCTTTCTCTCCTCCTCAAGTATCTATTTTACAGTGGTATGCACGGGAAACCAAGCATATTAACATTATTTCCCCCCCTTTACTCATTCAAACCATGCCTCAGTCCCTGTATCCCAGAGGCTTGTTGTTCCAAGGTTGTGCATACATCATTATTTACCTCTATCTCACTAAGCGTATGCAAACCTGCCTAAATATTCTCCCATCTGCCTTGTTATTCCATTCCCCTCTGCCTTCTTGTGTATCCCCACACACACCAGCACCCAAGCTATCCTGTGTCCATTCCCTACCCTGTGCTCCTCCTTCCCCTCCTTCCCCTCACCCCAACTCCCACATCCCAGTAACCAGCAAAGGATTTATTTTCCCATCCTTTTAATATGGATTATTTTTCTTAGTCTTTTACAATAATGGTCCCATGTAGTATTTCTCCTTTTGTGACTGACTAATTTTACTCAGCATAATGTCCTCAAAGTTCATCTATGTTATGCAATGGCTTGCAGCTTCCTTCTTGTTTTTCAAAGTTGCATAATATTCCATTGTGTGTATGTACCACCATTTGTTTATCCATTCTTCAATCAATGGGCACTTAGGCTGTCTCCATCTTTTTGCTATTGAATAATCCTTAGTCATTTACTGAACATTGAATGAGACATTAAATAGGTCATATTTTGTCTGTTGTTCATGTATCTGAACTTTCCTGGTAATTCAAAGATATTATAAGTAGTTTTCAGAGATTAAATAGCAATTCATACTCACAGGGGAGTGTTCACTGGGAGAGTAGAAAAGCAATCTGAATTTTATTGAAAGCTTTCATTATGCTATGAATGAAAATTGTGAGTTATATGCTCCCCACACACATTGAGAGTGATATCCAATTGAAAACCATTTATCTTATCAAATATTCTGGTTGACTTCAATTAGTAAATCAGAGAGTCCACAGTCTAAGAATATAGCATTATGAATAGTTTTGGTGAAGTGTGTGAGTTCAATAAAAGTCAAATTATATGAGTAAATACACATCCATCTCCAATTGCTGTATCAAAGTCCTCAAATTGTGTGAGTTAACTATAGGTCCATCTCCAATTTTATATGTAGTAAAAATATCCTATATTTTCACATAAACCACAAGAGATGTGGTCATGTTGTAGCATGGACTACTAAAAATAAATTGGAGGATATTTTTATTGCATATAACTTTGGAGATGGACATATATTTAACTCACACAATTTGAGGACTTTGATACAGCAACTCTAATGCCAAGAGTTTGGGAGAAAAATCATGTATCTATTGACTTTCAAGTTAGAACAGTTGAAGAACAGAAAAAAGATCTCTTTTTCATAAGGAACTTAACCCCATAAAGTTAATTTAAATTTGTCTCTCACAGTCTTTTTTTTTTTTTTAATGTCTCGTTTTATTTTTTAATTTTTTGTTTTCATAGAATACATTTTCACATTAGAGATGCCCAAAGTAAGAAAATAGCAGTTTGTTACTTTTCAGTTTTATATTTATAAGCAGATTATTTAAGGACATTTGAAGGATATGTCTCAGTTTGCAATCTATATTTTAATACATCTACAAGGGATGGAGCTTCTCTGTATTCAAACATTCTCCAAGCTTTACCTCCTAAAATTCAGAAATTAGTGAGACATTTCCTCATTTTAAAGTTTCACTGGGACATGTAACCATCAACAGAAAAGCATAAAAAAACAGGAGGATGTTTCTAAAATCTTAAGACAGTTGTAATTTTCTGCAAAATCTTTACTTTTGAGTTAACAGACATTCCCATTGTCCATCATTCTTAGAACAAATATCGAAACGGTATGATCGTAATATGCTGATATTAACAAATTAAATTCCCATTAAGAGATTGGCAAATTAAAAGGTACACGCTCATACAATGTTTTGTCACATGTGAGGCTTCTAAAAAGCTAGGAGACAATCCCATTATCTCACCAGAATATGGAAGGCAGCCTCACTATTCTGTGAATATTAATTCCTCTCAAACCTTTTCCTCCAAGATTAAATTGTGAAAAGAACCAAATGATTAGACGAGAGTTGTCTCACCAATGGACATCTGTTATTTCCTCCTTACTGAGAATTGAACGGGGTGGCAGAGCAGAGGCAGAGAGGTGGACAATCATTTTTTAAGGGACTAAGTCAAAAGTCAGAGTTTCCACAGCATGGCCACAGCTTTGCAGATGCCTATATCGTGATAGTTGAAATAGCACAGACCAGCAAAGGTTAAAGCCAAGAGTGCCAGGAGGGCAGCCTTGGCAGTTTTCTGGGGTGCCTCCTCATGGATATAGTCAGTAACAACCTGTCCCAGGCCCCAGTGACCATGGAGAAGGAGAACTACAGCTAGAGAGTAGTCCATCGCAGAGCAAGGATTGAAATAAGCAGCTGGGAGCAGGTCCAGGAGCAAAACACTGACAACCCTCTCACCAGTCCAGTGGAGAGATACAGCCTGGGAACCAGAACAGTGGCTGGGGGACAGGTGAATGGGCTGCACTCCTGGAGTAGACCGGTCCTGGAAAAATGCTGAGGCAAGAGCAGATTTGATCACTGGAGTTCAGAGGAACAGAGCTCGGGCTCCTTGAGCACCGCAAACAACCCTCAGCCTCCAGACCACCGCCATGTCTGTCCTTAGTCTCTCACAGTCTTTCATACATTACACTCCAAAGTAGTGTTTCACTTCTTATAGAGGCTCAAAACAATAAATTAGTGTTAGTATCAAATGTAATCTTCAGGAAACACAATTCAAAAAACACATAAGAAATAAGACAATGGACTTAGAACATAAAAGCAGGTCTCAGAACTTACTTAGGTGACACTACAAGTAACTTTTAAAAGTCAGTGCTAAAGTTGTGAATACTTTATATAGCTGTTGTGGCACTGTGGAATACACTTTGGGCTGCAAGTCCAGCAGTTTAAATCCATCTGTTGTTCCTTAAGAGAAATGAGGTTTCTGCTCTCACTGAGATTGACAACCTCAGAAACCCTATTAGAGTCATCATGAGTCAGAATTGACTGGATGGCATTGGATGTGGTTTGGTTATCCAATAAGAGGTTAAAGGAGGTGATCATGAACTGACCTACTCTTTGATAAACGATCTAGACTTCTTGGGGAAGCATATTACCATAGAGCACAGAAAATATGCAATTACTTTTATGCATTGCCTGGAAACCCAGGCCTTTAAGTCATGCTTCTGCATAAGTAGAGAGAGATAGTGAACAAAAAGGGAAATATTGAGAAGACCTATTTATTTTATAGACATAAAACCAAACGGCCACCACTCGTCTGTCTGTCGTGCTGTGGTGGATTGAGTTGCTGTGATTCTGAGGGCTATACCACCGGTGTTTTGGATAACCAGCAGGGTCACCCATGGTGGAAAGGTTTCAGATGAGCTACAAAACAAAGACAGACTAGGAAGAAAGAGTGG